TTTTCGTTTGTATTGGTGGCATTATATTTTTCAGAATTAATGCATTGAAATTTTTGTTTGCATTAAATTTTAAAAATTAATTTTTAAATTATCATTAGTACTTTAAGTACCATTAATGCATTAAAAAGTTGATGCATCTTTCACAACTCTGGCGCCTATGTAGTATTAACACTTGTACGACCATAAGCAAAAAAAATATGATTTTAATTGTAGCTTTTGATTCTAGGGGGCTTAATAAAAAAAATGGAATGTCAACACAATAAACAAATTTCTATAAAAAAAAAATCCTAAAAAATTGTCATGTATATTAGTACCTACCTTAAAATAAATACTTTTAATCAAAAAAAAAAATTGTTTATTCTCTAATAAAATATTTTTTTTTAACAAATTAATACAACATCCATTAAAATATATTTCTTACAAAAAAAATTTTTCTTAACTGTTTCTAAAACAAAATAATTTTTATATATTGTGGAACGCCGAAACTGGATTGTCTTCAAAAAAATATTTTACCCATCGGCAACACCAACAACCAAAGCGAGAATTTTTTTGCAATAACTCATTTTCTCTCCCTAAAATAAAATATTTTATATCAGAATTTAATATAAATAAAATTAAAATTAAGATCGGTTTTTTACTGAAAAAAATAGATTATTTACATCATTAAAATCATTACCAAAAAAGTTTTTAATGCTTTTTTTCAAAATAATTATTTTTACCTAACAAATTTATTTTGTAATTTGGTAAAACTAGGCGAAGGAACAAAATTTATTAAAGTTTAACAGTTTTATATAACGCTTGACCTTTACAAATGTGTCGTTTGAAAACTATCATGCAGTTTTTTGCTCCGGGCGGCGAAATGCTCACAGCGAGAGCATTTCTAACAGTAAAAGAAAAAAATTATTTTACATATGTAAGTAGGTACTTAAATTATAATTTTTTCTCAAAACAAATTTATGTTTTCAGAAAAACAAATACTTTTTCTCAAGCTTAGTATTCTCAAAAAAAATGTTTTTTTTTTAATTTTTCGTAAATTTATCCTATTATTGTGGAATATTTTTTTTTTAGAAAATCATTTTTTCTACGGTAGGGTAATAGTTTTGATAAGCATAATTTTTTGCTAAAAATATTTTTCCCAAAATCCTAGAATTTTTTTATTTGTGTTTAATTGAGGAATTGAGGATTTTTGGTATTTTTATTTTTAAATATGTTTCAAAAAATTTCATGACATATATCTTTTTGGGTGGAGAACTTATTGGGAAACATGTTTCCCTTGGCACTGAAAGGGTTAAGTACTAGAAATACAGTTTATGGTTAAAGGATGACACATTATAAAGAAATATTAGTTTACACATGAAAGGCCAAGGTGTGCTAAAATAAAGTTTATAATTAACCATTAGCCATTGACCCTGCAAGCTCACGTAACATAAATTTGCCGGTAACACTTTTTTAGTTCAGCGTCAAATCATTTGGGCCGTCAACTAGTAGCTTCTTGGCCCACAATTAAGGAGTGACAGCAGCATTTATTACCAGCTGCCGCAGTGCTTTTGGAAGCTTTATTATATTTGCAAGTGCAATGGAGTGCGTACATACAAACAAACAAATATTGGAGTTATTACGCGAATACTTGGCGAAGCCGCGGAAGCGTCATTAGCCGCTATAACTGTATGTAAACACAACAAACTTCACGTCTGCGCGGAAGCTTTTTTTTTTTGGTTTTTTGTGCGTGGTACGAGTATACGTCATTTTTGACATTCTTGACCAAGACCTCAATTCGTGGGCATTGTTTTTTAGCTTAATTGCTCTCGCTTCTATCTTCATATATACATACATACAAATATGTACCAAACATATTTATATACATATAATATTCTATATTCTGCCGGTGTGATCACTACCTAATCTGTATGTATGTAGCGGCGCGCATCAGTACTGTTGTCACTTGCATAACACACAGGCATAACACATGGCTTGCCATTGACAAGGCAATCGCCAGGTTAACAAGGTGAATATTGGCAAGGCAGTGGCTTACATACATACATATGTATGTATGAATATAAAAAGTTGGAATAGTGTAATTGCTAGCAACTTTATGGCTAGAAATCTTTACTGATGACATCTAATTTTAAGTTTTTCGCGTTTCTTTCAACTCGCTGAAATAGCTCGCTGATTGTTGGCATAGAAGATAAATATGTATGTACATAGTTTATGTAGGGTTATAGGTTGGGCGGCAACCGCAAGGTCCTTTGTGATATCGCATGGGGGTTCACGGTTATGCTGTTGCCGTAAAACCACTTGGAGTTCAATAAAAATGTGGGCACAACACACCTTATAACTATTGAGCTGAGATCATCTACCACGTACCTACTCACGAAATTTAATGTAAACAACTCTCACTTAAAAATTTACTTAAATGTATGTTGCTTATAATTGAACAGCCGAAACTTAAGGTAACTTAATGCCACGTCGAAATCTGTTTCAGTTTAGTTGACATAATCAGTCTTTAAGGCTTGCCAAAGCTTTAGGCGACTTAGTTACATAGGTAAATAAATAGGTTAGGTTAGAAATTAAATTTTAATTTTATTTCATTTTGTTCCTTTTGTCGGCACCTGTACGTGACTTTTTCATAACCACTACGGGAATAGTTTAAGGCTATTTCCGAATCATTCCGTGACTAGTTTCAAACAATAGGAAAAAGTAAAAAAAAAATATTTTTTGGAAAAAGTTCAATACATTTTTTTTTTTGGTAAAAATAATGATTTCATTATTAAATCATTTAAAGTATATATTTTTTCTGTTAAAAAGCGCTTTTAATTTTAAGTTTAATATAAAATATAAGGTATACTATTTTTGTATTGTAAAATTATTTTAAGAAAATAAAATTTTTGTTTTGAAAAAAAAATAATAATAAATTTTTTACTTAGATACATATTAAATCTTAGTAAAATTTTAATTATTATTTTTTCTCAAAACAAACATTTTTTTATCTATTTTGAATAAATATTGAGGCCGTGTTTAAAAATATTAGCTTAACTTCGACAATTTTTATGCGATTGCAATAAGTGAGGTGTCGGTTTATTTGACAATAGATTTAATTTTAGATATTACTACATATCTTGAATTGTGGAAATTTGTGATGGTCAAAATAAAAAAAATTAAGAAAAAATGTTTTTTTTTTGCTCGCCCGAAGAAAAATCCCACCAATCCAAGTCTGACAATAGATTATTACATATACATCATTTTAAAGGCCTATGAATCCTCTTCTCACAACATGTTCGATCTTTAAAATTGAATGAAATATAGTCATTCAAAAACAGATAAACCTACAAAGCCGTGTTTTCTGGTCTAAAATTACAAGTCGCGACCTCTAAGTGATTTTTAAAAAATCTATAAAAATAGGCACCAATATTTCTCATAAAAAGGAGAGAAATTAGGGGGTAGGGGTCTAGAAAATAGGAGTTTTAAGCAATAAAAAAATATATATTTAAAAACATCTATGTAGATATGTATGTACATATGTACATTAGACTGCATCACTCCCCATAAAAAAATCGGTACTGTTTTTCCATTGGAATTATAAAATCTATCATATTTTAAGACGTCTACCAAAATATTTTATTTTTTTTTAATATTTTTACGCAGATTTTTTAAGCCTAATCTGTTTTGTCATCTGAGGAGACTTTTTTCAAAAAGTTCTTTAAGAAACTATTTTTATTCATAAAAACTCCATTTTTGGAGGTATTTTCAAATCGGCCTAACTCGCTTAAATCTTAATATTTTGTGGACGTATTAAAATATAATAAGTTTTGTAATCCCGGCGGAAAACCGCAACTTTTTTTGGTTATGCAGTACATACATATATAGACAAACAATTATTTTATCAAGTTTATAACTTATCAAACAATTGGAAAAGTAAAAAAAAAATGTATTTTTGGAGAAAATTAATTATTTTGAAAACATTTAATNTTTTTTGGTTATGCAGTACATACATATATAGACAAACAATTATTTTATCAAGTTTATAACTTATCAAACAATTGGAAAAGTAAAAAAAAATGTATTTTTGGAGAAAATTAATTATTTTGAAAACATTTAATTAATTTTTCGGTAAATATAATGATTTTATCATTAATTTATTTTGATATAAATTAATTTAGATGCTCTTGTGGGAAAATATTTTTTTGGAAAAAAGTTCTCATTTCGCCTCCAACAGGTTAGGAATATAATGTATTCACATAATCCCCTATCAAATTTGTTTTTAGCTTTCAACAATACGTCAGATAATTTTTTTTATGTAATTTTTTAAAGTTGCTTATCAAAAAAGTAATTTGGTTGAAAGAAATTATTTTTTCTGCAAAAATAGTAAATATAAATTTAAAAAAAAATTATTTGTTATAAAAATTTTTTTACCAAAATTAAAAATTTTAACGAAAATTTGTAGACCAAAAATTAAAAAAATGCTTCATTTTTATTTAGATATTTCTTTAATTTTTAAGGAAAAATAATGTGAATGAGAAATTTTTAGGAAAAAACATATTTTTTATTGAATTTTTTCGTGACATTTGATTGTTTTTTTATTTAGCAATCAATGAATCAAAATTTACAATTAAAATCATTTCTTTGAATTTTAAGTTTATGGTCCTGAAAGGGTTAATAAGCCCAGGTAGAGCTCATGGGGCATTGGAATGCTGGTTGCCGACTCTCTTGCGAGACAGTCGGCTTTCCCTTTTCCCCCTATACTATTATTAGCCTGGTATCCATGCCAATTGGATATGTATTTCCACTTTTTTCTTGTCGGCAACAAAGTACTTCGATTTGCCTAATTTGCAAGTTCTAAACTAATTTTAATTATATTCTCCTTACAGATGCGCTCCACAGCCGCCTTCCGCAAAGATAATGCCGCCCTTGTGCACGGCCTAGTCATCGAACAGCTCAAAGATAAATTCATACAATATGGCATTGTGAATGTTTTAAAGAATTGCGANTTATTCTCCTTACAGATGCGCTCCACAGCCGCCTTCCGCAAAGATAATGCCGCCCTTGTGCACGGCCTAGTCATCGAACAGCTAAAAGATAAATTCATACAATATGGCATTGTGAATGTTTTAAAGAATTGCGATCAACTGGGACGTCGTATTTTGATTGTGAATTGCGGTGAACTGTGGGATCCCAATTCCGTGCCTTCAGATGATGTCTTCCGTATGTTGTATATGATACATATTGCCGCACAATTGGAACCAGAAACACAAGTGCGTGGCGTTGTTTGTGTAATGGACTTTGATGGCCTCTCAATGAAGCAGGTGAAAGCGTTAACACCAAGTTTCTCGAAACGTTTGCTCACCTTCATACAGGATGCGATGCCGTTGCGCATGAAAGAAGTACATTTTGTTAAGCAGCCATTCATTTTTAAAATGGTGTGGGCACTTTTCAAGCCATTCGTACGCGAGAAGCTCAATAAAAGGGTGAGTTGCCATGACAATTTTCGTAACCTCAAATTTAATGGTAGTATGTAATACAATTGCTTTTACCATCACCAGTACAATTAACTTCATCGTTACTTCTTCCATTACAAGTACCATTACCGCTTATATTACCAGCATAATTTCCGTTACTATAACAATAACCCTTTACAGTATTCCATTACCATTACAATAACTACTACTATTATTACTATTGTCACTGCCAGTACCTTTACTATTACAATAATCAGCACCACTAAAATCAATAGTTATTACTATTATCGTAACCATTGCCATTTTTTAATTACCATTACCATTACTATTGCCATTACCAATACCATTTCCTTCACCATTACCTCTTATCATTGCCATTTCCACTACTAATATCGTTGCCGTCACCATTACCAATTACCATTACTGATACCGTTGCAATTAACATTACCCTTACCATTACCGTTGTCATTGCCATCATTATTATCATTGCAATTACCAACATCGCACTACCGAAGTACCAGTCGCAGTGGCTTTTACATTATATGGCACTGAAATTTCGCAGCTGTTGAAGAGTTAATGTGTAGTACAATTGTGACAGCAGAGAATCCTTTGTCATATCCAAATAATTTTATAATCATACAACCAGAGAATGTATGTACATATATGAGAACGTATATTCATAAACGCTCTCTGACAGAAATCAATAAGCCCGACAGGAAACGGATTAAGACGAAAGCCGGAAACATCAAATACTTTTGCATACTTCAGGGCGCTCTTAGCAGCCACCAAGCGTTTCCTCATTTTTTTGTTGGACTTCCGTTTTAAGCTGTCAACCAACATTGGAAAAATTGCAAAATATTCTAATTTTGATTAAAATTAATAAAAAAACATGAGCCTAATAAAAGCTGTAGACATATTGGATTCTAAGGAATCGTCTTTATCCTTCAATTAATTCATTTCAATTATTTTATTTTTTTGTAATTCTTGTATTATTTTATAAACCAGGTTAATTTTCAATTTGACTTTTATTTTCCAGATGCACTTCCACGGCGGCGACATGAAGTCCCTGCAGAAATTCCTCTCACCCGAAATCCTGCCCGAAAACTACAAAGGCACACAGCCGAAAATCGATTATGGCGGTGCCGATTGGTTTCCAGCAGTCGAAAAGCATACCGATTTCGTGCGCGAATGGTCCGAGCTGGGTCCAGCGCAATGGTAAATGCATCACAACGCGCTTGGCAACCAACAAATTGCTACAACCAAAGGCTGTACATTCCTTCTCTCTAATTGAAAAGCCCAATTACTTGGAACGCTTGAAGAACAAAAAAGAAAGCACAATATACTATGTAGTTTTTAACAAAACAAAAAAAGACCCAAGAATTATAAGACACTTTTACATACAAACACTATCGCGTCTTTCACCTAGTTCGTAAGCATTTAAACAACATTTTTTATTTCTAGTTTATTTTAGTGCTAATAAATGAAGAAATGCAAACAAATCATTCTCCATTTGTCTATTTTTCCCTTCATTTTTATTTCATTTCTCATTTCTCTACACTTGTATGGATTATTTGTTTAAATTACAACAACAACGCTACCTTCCACATACGCGCTTGGAACCAATAAATGTGACAAGTTCTTATTAATAATGTCATAAAATAAAGAGATTTTAAACAAAAATACAACACCTTTCTAACAAGCAATGCGCACCATTAGAAAGTTTATTGCGGACGTGGCCATTGTTAATTTTCATTTTTTAATGTATATACATACATGGCTATTTAAATATACATGTGTATGTATGTAGTGACATATTTGTACACGACTATCGCGATATCATTGACTAATGATTTATTATGGTATTTTAATGTTGAAATATCTTTTTCTGACGCTTATGTGTTAATATGAGTGTAGTGTAGCAACAACAATGAATCCTTTTTTTTTCCTTCTTGAACTTCTTAACGACAGTTACTTTGCTCTACTTTGAATATCATTCATTTCAGTGTAAGTTAGTTACCAAGTTTAATTAACTAATTATATACCATAATTCTTCGTTTTCGCCAGCCTTGCCTTTCTAATTTAATTATAATTTAACAAGCAAAACAAGAAATTAAAAATAAATTTTCATAAATCAATCACATATCAGCTGATTCAAAATCAATTATGTTGGAATTAAAAAATAAAGACAAAAAAATTTCACATAATCGCATATGTTGTAGGTAATCCCCACACATGCATATGTATGTATAGGCTGGTGGTTAAATTCTCTAAGTGCTGTAGACCGAAACGGCAGAAAGCGCCAGCACAACACAATCAGGGATATGAATGGCGAGAGCGCACGCGCAGATCATAACAATGAATTACGCTTAACTGAATGTGAGTGTATTATATGAAGGTGTTTCGAGATGCTAAACTTAAAGGATCATTGTCGCTGGGTCCTCTATGAAGTCACGGAAGTATTGCAGCCATTTGGCAGCAACAGCGCCATCAACAGTTCTATGATCTGCACTTAAGGTAACGTTCATAACGCTGACTTCACGGAAACTGTAAGAAATTTAAGATTTTTATTAGAAAGTTGTCTCAATTATATAGCAAATAGCTCATTTACCCNATGGTATATATTTTTATTAGAAAGTTGTCTCAATTATATAGCAAATAGCTCATTTACCCTTTCAGGCTATCGGGGTCTATGACAAGCTTCTTTGTTGTGGCGCCAATTGCCAAAATGCAGGATTGTGGCGGATTTATGACGGCACAGAATTGAGAAACGCCTGAAAAGAGGGCATATTAAAACAAATATTTCAAATATTGCAAAATAATTTGAGCTTACCCATCATGCCGAGGTTCGATACACAAACGGTGCCACCTTGGAATTCCTGAGGTTTCAACTTGTTCTCTCTGGCCTTGGCAGCTAACGATTTCGTTTCCTGCGAAATGTCGACTACGCCTTTGCGGTCGGCACTAAAGACAATTGGCGTGATTAGACCGGTGTCAGTAGAAACGGCCATCGAGACGTCGACATTGTCAAATCTTTAAAAACAAAAGATGTTTATAATTTAAATCGGTTTAATCTACTGTTTAATTAATAATAAGTAAAAACGATTTGGCGCTCACTGTCTTATTACGCTCTCCATCCAATAAGAATTGGATTCCGGCACCTTGCGACACGCTGTGGCAGTAGCTTTAATGATGAAATCGTTGACCGATACACGTACGCCTTGCTTCTCATATTTCTTGTTTACCTTTTCACGCAGTTTTAGCAGCTACGAACATTCATATAATTTAGTATATTTATGTGTGTAAATCTTCAAACACAAATCACGCCACTTACATTATCCATTTTGCACTCCATGGTAACATAGTAATGCGGTATTTGCTGCTTCGATTCCTTCAGCCGCTTCGCAATCACGCCGCGTACATTCGAAACTGGTATATCGATATAGCCTCCTTGTGGTGCAACAACGGTGGGTGCTGCAGCTCCGACCTGTGGTGCAGCTGCTGACAAGCCTGCAAGATCACTAGATTTAATTGAGCCATAGATGCCACTGCCTTTGCCTGCATGCGTGATATACAAAACAAAAAAGCCAATTAGTAAGGCAACAAACAGTGGGTTAGATATTAACAAAGGGATGTATTTTGAAAGAAACCTTGCAATCGGAGACTTTGTGCTTCGGCCAATTTTTTGGCCATAGGGCTGGCGTAAACACGTTCGCCGCGTTGTTCAACGGCAGTAAGAGGCTTACCACCGGCAGGGGCGGCAGGTGCTGGGGCGGCGACTGGTGGTGGTGGCGGTGGAGGAACTGGCGCAGCTGCAGCTGGTGGAGGTGCTGCTGCGGCGGCCGGTTTGCCTGCTGCGGGTGCATCGTCAACAAAGTCTTTGAATGCAGCAACATCTTCCTGATTTGGTACGATGATGCACACCAATTTGCCAATGGGAACATCCTTAACACCAGATTGTACAACAATTTTTGCCAAGTAGCCCTCTTCTGGTGTTTCGAAACCCATGGTAGCTTTATCAGTTTCGATTTCAGCCAATAAGTCACCTGCGTAAGGAAGAAATTAGTATCGGTCCATAACATAAAAATTCCTTGCATATTTGCTTACCTTCATTCAGTTTGTCACCTTCCTTTTTCTCCCAACTGACAATGGTACCCTGTTCCATCGTCGGCGAGAGAGCTGGCAACGCCACTTTAATGTGATCGGGTAAATCGGCATAGTTGCGTGCGAAATTCGTGCTCCACATGCCCAGTGGCTTCGGCACGGTTACTACATGGTTCCTTGGTGCGAGTCTGAAAGTGAAAACAATTTATAGATATGTAGAGAAAGAAAGAATGCGTTTCTCTAATCAAGTTGTATTTAAACCGATTGAGCTTGCTAATTAATTAGGCCCTGATTTGAAGAATTATTCCTCCCCACTATTTGATTTGCCAAGCAACGAGGCTGTTAAGTTCCTTTCTCCTAAAAGCTTAACACAAACTAGAAAATTGTAGGTTACTTATTTTCTGGATTCTCATAATAGCGGTTATTGAACTGAATGGATATTAAGAAATTCGACTAGGGAATGATTTCGCTTAAAATAAAACCGTTGTTTGTATGTTGTTGTAATAGTTTTTGTAAGATGTTTAAACCTGTTAAAAAAAAAAATATTTTTTCAAGCCCTCAAGGCCACAACAAAAACTTAGAAATTCATTCACAAAATAAAAGCTAAATGTGCACATAAGCATGGAAAGTATGTGTTCTATCATATGGGCCGAGAAGCCTAATGACCGATTGTTATCACTCATAAGTTGTGACGCCATCAATTATTCGATTAGCTAAACTACCTTACCCCGCACCATATCAAGCTACACCCACGTTTTATAACACTAAATTTCATTATTCGTGCTTTGAAATCTTAATTAGGAAATTTTATTAGTTGCCATTTCTCTGGCGTCATAATTGTATTTGGCATTTTCTATAATTCTTTGCATTTTGCAATTAGCAGATATCAGCCGACGTTACACAATCAGATTTCTAACCTTAAAACGTCATCGGAGCACCCCCATCTTCTGGCAAAACAACGGAATCTGAGTTAGAATTTGGCATTTGACAAACGCACCTGAGTGTCTGCAACTTCCTGGCCGTTTGTGCGCCCAAAACGCGCACGGCTTCACGTGCAGTTCTGGCTCTGGCTAGCGATGTTCCACGCAGTAGCACGAGCTCATTGCGTGCTGCAATTGTCCTCAGCATCTTGACCAGCTAAAGTGAAAGGGCACAGATTGTTAAATTACCACCGAATTAAATCAATTTAATGAAAGCGCAGCTAAGGAAGTTTTAAACTTTTCTAGGCTGCTACGTATTGTTGTTAAATAACTGCCAACTTTATTTCATAAGACAGTTTTTCGATCGAAATTAATTTATTGTAATCGCGCTCACACACCGACCTTTCTCGGAAGGTTACATACACACCGCAAATCGTATCGAACTGAACTAGACTAATGTGAAGAGAAATGTCAAATAAGAATCAAAAATCCAATAAGAAAAGTCAAATAAGAAAAGTCAGCCGTCAGCAGGGAATGGTATTAGGGTTGCCAAGATATTGCATGAGAGAAAAGAACAAATTAATAACGAAATCTTACGAACGCAGGGCATTGCATTATGAATTTTATTAAACTACTCAATTGTTTAAGCTAAACAAAAATTGAACTTTTCATTAGTTCTGTAAGCATTCCTAAGAAGCTAATCAAGTAGCGTAATTCATACAAAGAAGTTAAATTCGTTTCCCATAAAAAGTGACGTATCCGTAAAAAGTGACGTACTTTTGCGTTAATTGGGCAGTACAAGATTTTCCACACAATTTTTCATGAAAATAACATACAAATATTGACTAAATCGCTTATATGTAAGTGTGTAAGTACTCGATCAACGTTATTTAATAAGTATAACGGTATTATAGGAAATGTCAATAATAACCAAAACTTGTTTGAGCTAAAAAATTTATAAGAACTAATAATCTTCCGCAAGTCTTAACGCAATGAAGTGCTGATTTTGGCACTGATAACAAATGCTAAGCAAATCCTCTGCCACTTGCGCTGAAGAGATAAGCTTTGAAGTCATTAATTATCAACGTGTATATACACACGCATAATCTGCTTCATTGCATTTCAAATGAAAGACTAGGGCACACGCGACAAATGACTTTCAAAAGTTCTTGATTTAGACAATCCAAAGACATGTATTTCCCATTTACTTTTTAAATCATCTTTTCGCATAGCGTTTATATCAATGAGATTTTATACAAATATTTCGATTAGCAACATTTAAATAAGAACAGGTTTTTTCTGACAGCGATCGCCCAGTGGCAAGCCTCCTTGTATTTCTGACATGAAAAAGCTTCAATTAAAAAATCCATTTCCGTTCGGAGGCGGCGTAAGACTGGTTGGTCCCTACATTTTAGTAACAACATCAACGTCGACGTCTATAGTTCGTTGATGTCTATAGTGGAGTCCGATTGAACACCAAAATAGGCTATTGCATTTTAATACTCGATTTTGGTTTTACATGAAGCCGAACATATTTTGATTACCATTATTTTTTTGTGAAAGGGTATACAATAAATTAATTATGATTTTTCAAGAAATGGATTTAAAAAAACATGTTTCCCTTGTTGAAGCTGCATAACCTACCATATAAGTTACTCAAAGAGTTTTGAAGGCTGCTGTTTGGACTTTCCTTCACTATAAGGCAGTGACTCTATGCCGTCACCCAAGGAAGCTTGTATTGCCTGTCGGGGGCCTATTTCAATGGGTTGTCTTTATTTTCTTAGAAATTAGTCCAAAATTCAAGGTTTTATTTTCATACCCTCGTACGTATTAGGTCTATCACTGAATCCTTCGTATTGCGATTTTTCGTAAAATCTACGAAAATTCTAACATTGAATTCGAATAGCTACGAACGTAGCGTATATTTTAAATACACACATTCGTAGCAATTCGGATTCAGTGGTCGCATTTTCGTAGATTTCACGTAAGTTCGGACTACGACGGATTCTGCGATTCTTTTAGCTGTTTTGAACCCGTTCTGTAAGCTAATCCCTTTAGATTAATAGTTTTATTTTTTTCGGACGTCCGAATCCAGCTTTGCATTTTATAGATCTTGTCTGAAAATTTTTGAAGAACATTACCGATAGTAGTTTTGGTAAACTTTATTTTTATTTATTTTTTTATTATTACGTTTTAGACCTAAAAAACTTAAAATATGTATAATAAAACTTTACAATTCATAAATTTATAAATTCATTGCATTCGATGGGCAGCTGGAGAGGCGTCGGAAAGACTACGTGCGGCAATGCATGCGTTGCCAATGTGGCGTCTTCTATTCAAAGTCACAGATTTAGTTTCGATGTCAGTTAAAAGAATCTCTGTGATGCAGAAAAGAATTTCTATCTGGCGAGGCCTTAACTCAATTTCCAATTTTTGTTTTGCGTGAGATTTTGATTTGACGTTTCATTGAAAGCGATTAATTGAAAGGCCGTTCACACCAGACGATTGTTGCTTTCAACTTAAACTTGCCTGTAAAATCTCATGTGAACGCCGTATTAGTCCTCATATATTATTTGCACCCGGTTGCCATCCCAACAAAATAATAGGAAGCATTTAATTTTGGCGAACAATGCTCTGACTATAAAAGTAAACAAATACATCCAACAGATTTTTCGCAATTGTGTTAAATATCGACCATGAATGCTTCGAATATTTCATTTGTACATCACTACCATGATTCAAAAATTATGAATCATGCATCACTACTAGGTACCGTTTTAAAAAATTTCACCGACAATTCTAATAGGAAATTTTAAGCGGTATCCGACGGATGCCACCCGAACGTATCTTATTCGGTTCCCACTGTCATAACAAGCAACGCAGCATTAGATTCGTGCAAATTGCATCGGTTGGATACACGCCTATGATCCGACGATGTCTTTCGCCCGAATCTAAACCTTCACTATCGCTTGTTTTGACAGTGCAAATCGGATTAAATCCGCGCGGACGTCATCCTCCGGATACCGTAATAGCATGAATACCACACAAAGAAAAACTAGTGATTAGGGTTATCCTTAATCCAAAGCAATAAACAAATAATTTGCGGACCAGTAAACATACTAGTCTGAGTAATTTCCAAATTAGTCCTTTTAAAAGCAAAGTTACAGCTATGTTTTTGCGGTTTCATCGTCTTACCTTAAGACTTAAGAAAGTTGTGCGAAATTGCTGAAATAGCAGTCCTTGTAGTAGCTATGACCCAGACCCGTGGGGACGTCAATAAAGCGCTATAATTTACATACACTTTTTAGCGTATAAGATTTGTTCACATATCGTAAAACACAAATTTAGTTATGAACTTTTACAAAGAAAGTAGTGAATGCAACATTTTTAGTACATAGTAAGATTAAATAAAGCAGCAAGTATATTTTCTTTTTTGTAGTGAAATTGAGTGAACAGTTGGTGGCGCTTGAACTAGCACCTTGTATTTAATTCAAGTTATATTAATGATTAATGCGAACAAAGAAAATTTTTAGACGTCACAATGTTTAGATTTGATAATCCTCGAATGTGGATGTTCCAACCGCATGATAAAAATTTAACCCATGGTATTTACCTTAAAAACAAAGAAATGCAAATTATTACTTATTCGGCTTTATAAGATATTTTTACTTACGATATCATCAATTTTCAAAATGGAACGCACTGTTTCAGTAGATAGCGAAATTGCAGAAATACTGACTAATAGCGGTTGTAATACATTTTCGGCCAAAATGTCGGTAATAGCACCCTTGCGCACATTAATACCGGCTGTTTTTTCGCCTTGCGCATGGCGGTTTCTCAATTCTGTTACGGTAGCAATTGGGTTGAGACCAGCATTTTCAGCCAAAGTGGATGGTATAACCTCCAAGGCATCAGCGAAAGCACGGAAACAATAAGCGTCAACGCCCTCTATGTCTGCGCAAGGCGGCTAACTGCAAAGCCATTTCAATTTCCGGTGCACCACCGCCAACGATTTGAGCGCGCTTCTTCACCAAACAACGCACTACACAGAGGGCATCATGCAAAGACGTGCGGCTTCTTCGAGCACCAACTTATTGGAGCCACGGCAAACAATGGATACGGTGCGTCCAGGATTCTGAATGCCTGTGATCTTGACAAATTTGGAAGTACCACTTGCCACCTCCTCAACCAGATCAGCATTTACTAAATTTTCAGCAACAAAATGATCCAATGATGCAATAGGACGACAGTTAAGGGTCTTGCAAATAAACTCGATGTCTTCACGTTCAACATCCTTAACAACAAGGCACTTAATCTTGTCCAAGAAATGCTGAGCTAAATCGGAAACAGCATCGCTATAACCACAAAGAGATTAGTCAAAATGATTAAATGAAATTTTACAATAACTTACCGCAAAATAGATTTCTGCACTAATAATACATTGCAGCCAGCTTTCTTTATTTGTTTTACAATATTCAAGATATATGAGCGCTCCTCTTTCAGCACACGATCCATAGCAGCATAATCCGATACGATGACGTTGTGATCCATCTAAAAGTATTTAATAATATTTATTAATGAAATTAGTCTTCACAGCCACGAATTGGTAAAACTTACATCAGTCTTTGGTGCCGAAATGCAGAACTGTATTAAGCCGATCTTGGCCTTTTCGATGCGCTTGGGTGCATTTGTACCAGCCGAACGCGAAGTAAACACCAAACCTTCAATCAACTCGGTGTCTTCGACGGTGCCACCGAGACTACGAATTACCTTAATATTCTTTAAGTCAACAGCACCTTCCTTTCCCGGCTCAGCCACCTTTAAAACAGCATCTACGGCAATGGGAGCCAAAAGACTGCTCTGTTGAGAAACCACTTTAGAATTTAAAGAAGTCGCCGCACTCTTGATGAGTGTTTCACGATCAGTTAGTTCAATTGGGGTTGACATTTCCGTAAGAATTTCAATGGCTTTATTGGCACAACGTTGAAAGGAATCGGAAATGGCCGTGGGATGTATACCCTTGTGCAACAATTTTTCACTAGCTTCCAATAAAGCGCCAGCAATAACGACCACTGAGGTTGTACCATCACCGGCCTCAACATCTTGGGCACGTGATAGCTCTACAAGCATTTTGGCAGCAGGGTGAAGTACGTTCATCTGTTTAAGTATGGTAGCACCGTCATTTGTGATCGATACTTCACCATTGCCGGCTTGAATCATTTTGTCCATGCCGCGTGGACCTAAGCTAGTGCGAATGGCATCGGAGACAGCTAAAAAAAGAAAATAACATGTTAAGCATCAAGCAAGATCATTGTCAATTATGACTAATAGCACAAAATCATGACGTCATAACAAAGTTGAAATTTACTTTCAAATAGAGCTAGTTTTTTTAATAAAATATGGACACAATTTGCGTTTGTAATATGTATGTATGTATGTATATGAAACATTTCACACTGCTTTTACTCCTTTGTTCAAAAAACCGAACTTTCTAGAGTCTAGACAATCGCGGTCAGGTACTACCACCGCCATTGCAATTTAGACCCGCAATTTGGCCAAGCAGCTGCCCCTATTTTGAGTAAATTTTGCATGTTTCAGTGGTGACTTTGCTATAATTTATACGCCATTTCACTTGAATTATACTGAATTTTCAATATTGTCATGAGTGGTGGAATTTCTATAGATTTCTAACCTTTTGCTGCCTGAATATTTGATAGACGCACATCGGCCGGCTTCGATTTATCTTTGAAGGCTTGTCCTTTTGGTTTAACTGGAACGAAGTTTGCTTTCGGAGCCATTGTTCTTCAGGCTTTAAGATTTAATTCACTTTTTAATTGATTAGAGAAAATTCTTGCGATTTTTGTGGATTAAAAACACAATCGAACACCGACGAAAAACCAAACGCAAAAGACGGGAAAAAAGTACTTTTTTGTTTTTCTTTACGGTTGTTTTCTCATATTTGACAGCAAAAATGTCAACAAAGTAGGACTGAGAACAAGTGTTGCCAGCAGCACCAATTAGTAGTTGGATCATGTGTTGCCAGAGTTACTGGAACGCGTGTACTTAGTAACGGTTCAGTATACCGAATTATGTGGTATTCACACGCCAGGGCTCTAAGCATTTTAAAATCAAAAATAAAAAGGTGAAGTTGTTCAAATTGTATCACACCATGTTGTCACACATGTGGGATCGTGTAAACCTCAATTTTTTGAGCAGCGTAGCCATCTTGTTTCGCTGGGAAACAAACGAAAAGCAACCAAAGCAAAGAAAACAACGAAAACCAAAATTGCCTAAAATTATTGTCAGCCACTTTTTATACCCAATTTAGCTAAAATTATTCATTAAAACGCTTTAAAACGTGTTGTCATATTGAATTAACTCTTCTTTAGTTAAAGAAAAGTGTACACAAGTAGTGCTTGTGTAAACAAATACTCAGCCGACGAACCCACTTTCACAAACTTTTTTTTCAAACCCATATAAAAAAAACGTCGCCTTGCGTGACCTTGAATTTTTGATTCATGTGAAGAGACCCCTACATTTTTACTACCCGATACCGGTTACTCCAAACACTTGATCCGGTTGCCATTTTATTGATTTTATTGACATTTCTACGTTTGCAACTCTGCACACACATGTCAATTCCACTCTGCTTCTTCCTTCTGTCTTTTCAACGACGATAACGATAATCAGAATTTTCGCTTTTTTCGTGAGCAAAACAAATTAATTCTTGTATAAAATTCTCATTGAAAGCTTCAATTAACACACTGAACAAAAGTATTTAACTTCTGTAGTGCATCCGACCAAAATTAGTGGCGTTTCCAACAATTTGTGGCGGAATTATTGAGTAATACACCGAAGGTAAATATGTAGACACATATGTACATACATACATATGGGCGCGAGCATGCATATTTTCCGCCCGTTCACCGGCTCTATCGCGTTATTGCAAATAAAATATAAAAAAATCGATTAGCATCTTTTGTTTTATGACTCTGGGCGCAACGCCGAAAGAAAAAAAATTAACATTGGCATGATTGCTGTTTTCTTATCTACTTGCCGCACTGATGTAACGCAAGGGTGCGAACGTGCCAAATGCGTTGCTGGCTATCTATCGCCAATGACTTCAGTGTGATAATAAAAACTTTTTTCCTTTTTGCAGAAATTTGGTCATTAGCATAACATTGCATATATTGTTATAGGCACACTATTATGGCATATCGTTTCGGTTCCGTTAGTATAACAAAATGGCAATTGGCGCTGTTGATTGGTACACCTGTCGCTATCGGTTTGGGTGTATACATTTACAAGAAATCAATTGACGAAAAAAAGCCTATTAGCGACAATGATGCTTCAGAAAATGCAGCTATACGCAAAAAGGGACTTCCGGCCAAGGATAAGAACCAAACACTTTCCATCGATGGCACCGGAGAAGACAAGGAGCTAGAGCGTAAGAAAAAGAATGCTGAACTGGGAAGCGAAAAGTTGTCCCCAATAAAAGAAGCCACTATGTACAAGAATGATGGCAATGTTTGCTACCGCAATGGCAAATATGACGAAGCCATTTCCTTTTATGATAAAGCTATTGACAAATGCCCAGCCGAAAACCGCACCGACCTCGCAATTTTCTATCAGAATCGTGCCGCTTCATATGAAATGCTGAAGAAATGGAATCGCGTCAAGGAGGATTGCTCGCGTTCGCTTGAATATAATCCACGCTATGCGAAAGCATATTTTAGGCGTGCTAAGGCGCACGAAGCTACGAATGATATGCTAGAATGCTTGGATGATGTCACTGCAACTTGCATACTAGAAATGTTCCAAAATAATAGCACAATAATGTATGCGGACCGCATTCTAAAGCAGACCGGTCGTGACGACACCGAACGTGGGTTGAAGGAGCATAAACCAATTTTGCCATCGAAGAATTTCATAAATACTTATCTGCGGTCGTTTATTGCTGATCCAATAGAGGGCATTACTTTGCCTGTGGCAGAGGACGGAGCAAGTTTGAAAGGTTTTGCGCGGGCGAAGAAAGCATTGGAAGAAGAACAGTATGAGGAAGTTATACCAGAGTGTACGGAAGAGATTGAGACTTCCGAATCGGAATCACAATACAAATCGGAAGCTTTGTTGTTGCGCGGCACTTTTCATATGCTCTCGGGTAATTTCGCTGCAGCGAAACAAGATTTGGATGCTGTGATCAATAACGGTATGTGAAAGGGTTTAATTTTTTTATGAATATTTAATTAATAATAGTACAACTATTTAAAATTGTTTAATATTAGCTGATGCCGATGTGTCGCTACGAGCTGCTGCCTTTATTAAGCGTGCCTCCTTGCACATACAGCTAGAGGAGAAAGACTTGGGGCTGGCAGATTTTGAAGCTGCGTCGAAATTGCAACCAGAAAATCCAGATGTTCATCATCAGCGTGCACAAATCTACATTTTGATTGATCAGCTGCCTGAAGCGCTCAATGAATTTGAAAAGGTCTTAAAAATGGCACCAAATCATGCAATGGCTTACATACAGAAATGTTACGCCGAATATCGTATGGCATTGATGTCCCAAGATCAGATAAGACTTATGATAGTCATGAACGAATTCAAGAATGCCATTGAGAAATTCCCCGACTGTGTTGAATGTTACAGTCTGATGGCACAAGTTTTGGGCGACCAGCAGCAATTCCAACAAGCAGATCAATTCTACGAGAAAGCTCTTAAGCTAGCGCCAGAAAATGCTTCATTATATGTACACCGTGGCATAATGCTACTACAGTGGAAGGGTGATATTGATAAAGCCATCGAACTCATGAATCGAGCAGTAGAAGTGGACAACAAATGTTTACTAGCATATGAGACACTCGGCACAATTGAAGTGCAACGGGCAAATCTAAATCGTGCTGTCGAACTTTTTGAAAAAGCAATAAAACTGGCAAAGAGCAGATCAGAAATGGGTCATCTATATGCTTTGCGAAATGCTGCAGTTGCTCAAGTGAATGTTACGCGTAGATTGGGTATTGATATGTCGACAGTATCTGCGCTGGCGCAATCGGGTACAATACCGGTGTCAGTATAAACTGTAAGCGTGTGAGAAGGGGAACCTTAAAAGTACTTTGAAGTAGTATCAAGTTTAAGTAATTTCGCTGCAAATTAACCATTAATATAAAAAATTCCAATAAGCTAAAGAAGAAGGAACTTGCAGTTAATAAGCGTGAATATAGCATACAAGCATTTCACCTCCTTTGGCCCAACCTTACCGAGCAAAGTCTAATCAGTGCAGTATAAGAGGTGGAAATACTCATATAATAAATTCATGCAACTAAATGAAAGAAGAGGTGCTCCTAAGTTTTTTTTTTTTATTAAACTCTGACGACACTCCCATAAGCTTGTATTATTGTTCTCATTAAATGTTTTCTGACGGGTTAACGCTGAATCGAAACTAGAACACAAGCTTTCCGATTTTGTGTGTTTACGGAGCGCACGCGGGTTTGGCGCTTTTTATTTGGTAACTCATAGCGAGCTCGCTATTGCCGTAATTCACAGTGTAAAATGAAATTCACAGCCAAAGTTATGTCTACCGAATTGCGAGCATGGTGGGTTCGAACACATTTATATGTAGGTAGTACATATGGTTTCATACACACTATTCAAATTTAAATATTGCGTCACATAAATGGAGCACAAATGCTTGGAAATTAAACCTGAGTAAGCCTTGTTTAAAAAAAGTGTATTATGCGAGTAATCACAAACATATTATATTATTTATAAATAAAAGTTTAGTTATGTAATTATCGACTTGTTGATCCAAAGTCATTACATAGTTTAAAATTTCTGTTGATTGAAATTTATTGTACCCTGGTCATTTTCTATACACACAATATTAAACTAGATCATAACTATTTACGCTTACATTATTGTTATTAATAAAAACGAAAACGTATAGAGCTAAAATATTAGCACTTAAAGCAGTCATTGTTTTTATAACCAACGGATGTTGGAAGAACTCCCACTAAAGCTTTTGACCGGAAATGTATTATAAATAGTTGTCCGGAGAAACATTTGTTCCATTTCCTTGTATTTTCAAGCATTAAAAGTAGACGCCTTCGATTCGCCACGTCTCTGCTCGCTTGACGAAATATTTCTACGTGAAATCAACAACAAAGTTAGCAAGCAAATGTTGTAGCAGCAGTGCTCAGCAAGCAGGAATGAACGTTGGCAAGTTTCGTTGTACCTCATTAATAGTTTCGTTCGTTTCGCCACTAACTGGTGGCGAATCGACAGCGGCTAGTGTTTTTTATTACTTCCTTCAAATTTGACGCCGATTTCCGTTTTATACCGGATTTGCACATTGTGAAGCTAAACATCCGGTTCATATGTACATATATGTATGTGTGCAAAAACCGAGTACCTTAGTAGAATCTAACTAGTCATAGTTCTTTAAGCGAAGCTGTAAAATCAATATACATACATATATGTATATTTTTAGTTGGCAATTGTATTTCATTAATTAAACAAACCATTGTTAACATTTATAAGTTATTTTAATTATTGCTTGTGTGAGTACAGCAGTATCCAATATCCGTTTACATTGTTTCTTACATCACCAGTTGCCTTAAAATTTGGCAGCACTGTTTGAGTAACTGTAAAATGATTTCGTGAATTTAAAGAACGCGGGCGGATACTTCATTTGCCAAGTTTTTTTTAGCAAAGACTTTTTGTGTGGGTGCGTGTGTGTGCTAATTTATAGCATTTAAATTCAACTCGTCGAGTTGTCCGTCGAGTTAACTAAATTATAGCGAAATTGGGTGCAGCAAATTGGAGGGCAGGTGAGTGTTTGGTGGCATAGTTTTGAAATTACCGTTTTTCCTTTTTCCCCGCGTGAAACTAAAAGGAAAAGTGTTCATAATGCCGATCAAAAAGAAGACAAAGCTGCCTTAAAGCAGAGGGTCTCGGCAGAGCATTTTTGTAGTGTGCGTGCAATTGATGTCACTGTGTGCATGCGAACGAGTCGTGCAGTTGAATTAAGCTTTCGCTGCCTTCTCAAGCAGAACGTGTGTGTATACGCCAGTCTTGCCCAACGTTGGCAGAATTCCATATGCAAGTGCCCTGCGCTGGGCATGACTGGTATACGCGAATGCGACGCGCAGTCGCCCGGCGGGCAGACGCTGTCCAGCTGTGCTTTAAAGGCTAGCAGAGATAAAAAAGCCATAATGGCGTCGTCGAATTCGTGGTCGGCAAAGTAAAGAGGCGACTCAGAGGTGACTGGTTTTTGTGAGCTCGCCAGCGGTAGAGGGCTTATAAAGATTAACCAAAAAATTGGCTTGAAAAATGAGGAAAGCGGCAAAAATTGCGGGAAAAATGCAGAAATTGAAGGCAGCATGGAATATGATAATGGCCTAGAAAATGAACAGTTCGTTAAAATTCTGTTAAAGTCGGTTAACAAAAACAATTGGCGGGAAAGATGTAGAAATTGAAGGCAGCATGGAATAGTTATGATAATGGTGTGGGAAATGAACATTTCCAAAAAGTTACGTTAGAGTCCGTTAAAAAAAAACACGAATATGCTGAGGAAAAAGAAAATGAAAAATGCGTGAAAATCAGTGATGTATCCTCAAACTTTCAAAAGCGAAATTTTTGTATTGGTCGATTCATAGGAATACTGCAAATGATAGATTAACCACAGGTTTAAGCCTGCTAGGCCAAATTAAAGATTTACGCCACAAATTGTATATATGCCTTAGGTCGAGGCCATGCAATGAGCGGCTGAGCGGCTTAAAATTAAAACATGAAATACTATTGAAGTGGCCATGCACTGAGCGGCATTTCTATATGGCGCCGCTCAGCCGCTCGTCCCTTTGCCGCTCATTGGCTGCGGCCTGCGCCTTAGGCACAACAATGTATAATATAACCTTTAAAAACACATATGCTGAAAACAATTTGGTTCTTGACAATAAAGTTCTTAAAAGAGGTCTGAAACCCTTTATTCCCCAGAAATCTATGGTGTTGTTAGAGGTGTGTCCACATGTTTTAAGGAATCTTATGTTCTAGAGGATGTCAAATCCAGCATTCGATACAATCGAATTCAATTCAACTACTTTAAAAATAAAATTTTCGGGGAATGAGATCCATAAACAGATTATATATGAACATACAAAGCTTGAGGTAGACCTTTATATACCTCCCTTGAGGCAGTGCAATAATTGTGGACGATTAGGTCATATCTTAATGTCCTACGAATTAAAAGTTAGATGCCTTAAATGTGGCAAAAATTAATGCAAATCAGAATGTGAAGTAAATAATAGCATTGTAGATGGTAATAGTGGCCACACTGCAAAGGTCAAAGTTTCCTCATAGGGAAAAAGAGATCGCAGTTAACCGCATCAAGACGGCCAAGAAAATGTCTCGCAAGGAAGTTCGTGATACCTAACTTATTATCCTAACAATGACAACAGATTTAGTATTTTCGAGGAGGATGAATCTAATTTTTCATCAGTCTGTGAGAAGGTAGAAAAAAAAAAACAATAAATATGGATGCCAACGTAAATCGTTATTGAACAAATTTATAGCTCTGTCGTAAGAAAACTTGAGAGCAAACAGATAAAAAAATAATAATAATAACGAAGTTAACCACATTCCAGTTTTTGAAGCTGAGTCTTACAGCCAATTTCACGAAAGCAATTTAAGTGAGAAATTATTTTCATTTTTTCATTTTTTTATGGAAATTGACAGAAAATAAATAATTATTTTCCATTTAAATTGCTGGTGAAACCGGCTGTTATCAAAAAATAATATTCACTCAAATGGAGAGACTGATGATACCTTTCAACAGGTTGAATTTTTCAGCTTTATTATCAAATATACTATTATAAAAACGAATTACTAAGACAACTCCAAAACAAACAAAGCAAAACTAACAATGCAATTATCTAAAAATGAGAATTAATGAAAATTTTCAATTGGTATCAAGACTTATTCGATACATATGTATGTATATTAAATAAAAGCATCAGTGCACATCGACTAAACTAAAGAAAGCACCTTGCGAATTGGAAATTGAACTGTCTATTCCTTCTTTGGTTGTTCATTCCATTCCTGCACTTCAGCTGTGCCCCAAATGCAAAAGGGTATAGTTGGTATGGTGAGAATAGCAAGAGCCAGCCAAAATACTATCTGCCATTCAGGTAAGAGGGTCTACAAAGTTGATTGAAATTAAAGAATTTGTTTAAAATGACTACATAAAGATGAGTGCTTACCTTTTTCGTTAGCCAACCTACTGAATAGGGCGCCAGAACACCAGCAATGCCACCCAATCCGTTAATAATAGCCATCACAGTAGCTGCATAATTTGGAGTCATATCATTCGGAGTCAACTTTATGCCCGCATAGAAGCCACCCATTAGTGCCATGGAGATGGTAAAGAATAAAATAATTAGTACAGTATTACAGCCAACATAGATGGCTAGAACCATGAAGAGGCCTGAAGGTGTTGCGGCTGTGAAATCATCATTATATAAATAGGCAATCATGTTTCCTTTACACCCCTTTT